CGGAGGGGACAACAGACACATGCAGGCCAAGTGGTCTAGCCCTTGGCTTCAGACAGCACCGGCCCAGGGGTGAGGGCCTCCTGGGTGCCCCTTTCCTCCCAGCAAAGGTGGGGGCCACACCAGGCGCCAGCCCTAGGGAAGCTCGGCACGAGACGCCGACCGCAGAAGGGGTGCCACGTAGGCTCCCACACTGCCAGACTGGGGCACGGAGTGTGTGTGTCTTGCTTTGTTTGCCCCAAATGTCCTGTGTGAGACTGGACCCCTGGCTGGGCCCCTCCAGCACCACCGAGCACCCACGACCCCGTGTGACCCGGTGACTTCAGGTCTGCGTGGCCCACACTGACACGAGCGCTCCATGCTGGACGGGGCACTCAAGAGGACGCGATGGAGCCCCAGGAACCTGGGGCATCGCAAGGGCAGCCTCAGTCTGACGTGCTTTGGGCCGGAGGGAAGGGCAGCACCAGACGGCAGGGCTCTCTACGGGCACCACGGGCGCTGGGGCCGGGGTCTCTCGGGGGCGTCCTGGGCACTGTGGAGCCTCTGCCTGCTCCACATCAAGCGCTCCCCAGGGTGACAGCCACACGTGTCCCCAGACACTGCCTGGGGTCCTCAGGTGAAACAGACCTGGTTTAGGGGAATCCCTGGGGAACAGGCGCCAGCCCCCCTCCAGCTCCCCAGCCCTCCCCACGGCTCTCCCACCTCTGAGCAGTGGCCACGGTGCCGTGGGGACAAGGCCCTCGCTGAACAGTTACAAGGCACGACCCCCAGGCCAGTCTGCCCCGCAGAGGGTCATTCCTGGCAGAGGCCAGGAAGGTGCAGGGGCTGGGGTGCGGCTCTGTGGGGAGGACACGCCCACCCCCCCAGCACTCCAAACACACAGGCAGAGCCAGACCCCAGAAAACATAAACCAGAATGGGGCGGGCACCCACTTGGGGGACCAGCTGTTTCCAAAACCACAAAGCATTTTGGGGACACGGACAGAAAGAAGGTAGGATGGAGAGGTTTCCTGAGCCAGGCCTGGGGTGAACAGCACACTAATGTCACCACGAGATGCGGGAGTCTTGCTGAGGGACACAGCGGCTGGGCAGAGGGGAAGGGGACGGGGGAAGGGGACAGGGGGCAGGGGACAGGGGCTCTATGTGCAGGTCCTAAGCCACCTAGGGCCTGGAAGGAAGGGTGTGAGAGCTGCTGGGCAGAAAGATGAACTCTTTCTCTGCGCTGTAGACAGAGCTAGGGGCAGAGAAAAGGGCCATGGAGGAAGGAGGTGTGAGCGACACGGTCAGGTCCACTGGCCTCGTGGGCCTGCTGTTCAGGAGCCAGCTCTAGCCACCAGCAGCAGAGGAGAGAGAGGAGGCTGAGGCTGAGGACCAGGGCTGGCACTTAAGTCTCAGAGTACTAAGCAGGGTCATCACAGAAAAACCTGTACCTGCCACTCACCAAAGCTGTGCTTGTAGCAGAAACAGTGGGGCCAGCACACACGTCCACCAATGAGTGAGTGGGGGCACACAGAGGTCCATCCACACGCTGGAATATTATATAGCTAGAAATAAGAGTGAGGCTGTGGCACTTGCCACATTGGGGATGGACTCTGCTCAGTGAGAGACTCCAGACCCGGAGGACACACAGCATGGGCTCTGTGGACAGGAAACACCCAGGACAGGCAACTCCAAAGACAAGAAGTAGACTTGTGGGCACTGGGGCTAGGAAGGGGACAAGTGACGGCTTTTGGAGCAGGTCTCCTTTAGGGGTGACAGAATATTTGGGAAGTGGACAGTGGTGACAAGGGCCCAGCTCTAGGAATACATGCAAACCAGATCTGAACACTTTCTCCTCTTTTGGTGCTGGGGATTGAATGCAGGGTCCACTGAGCTACACCCCCAGCTCAATATTTTAAAAAAGTGTTTTTTGGTTTCTTTTTTTGAGACAGAATCTTGCTATGTCGTTCAGGCTGGCCTTGAACTTAAGGTGATCTTTCCTGCCTCAATCTCCCAAGTGCTAGGATTCCAGGTGTGCGCCATCACACCATAAAACTATTTTTGTTGGTACCTGTTTTGTGAGACAGTCTTATTAGTCCAGGCTGGCCTTGAATTCAGTGTAGTCTAGGCTCTCCTCAAAATCACAGGGATCCTCCTGCCTCAGCCTTCCGAGAGCTGGGATTACAGGCGTGCACCACTACTCACAGCTAGACCCTAAAATTTTTTATTTGGAGACAGGGTCTGGCTAGAGCACTAAGTGGCTCAGCCTGAGCTCAAACTTGCAGGCCTCCTGCCTCAGCCTCCTGGGGTGCTGGGATGACAGGTCTTCGGTACCACACCTAGCAAGAACTGTACACTTCTCAGTCAATTGTATGTCATGAGAATTTTATCTGAATAGAGCTGTTACGAACAACAATCTAAAAAGAATTTTAAAAGAAAGGTGAGTGGAGACTGAGTAACCACATCCAGTAGGGAACCCAAGGACAAGAGCTCACTGCCCAGAACACGCACCTGGGGTGCGGTGTGTGGCACTGACTGGACTGAGTGAGGCTGAAGCCAGGCCAGGGAGCAGGCAGAGTGCGAGTCCCACAGCCCCCACAGCAAGGACACAGAGGCCGGGGGAGCAGGCGCTCATCAGGGCGCCGGGCCACACAAGGGGCTCTGGTCTGGGCTCATCCCCTCAGCACACCATGCTGACAAGGCGACCGGGTCTGTGTCCCCAGGCCAGGCTCTGCTGAGCATAGTTAGGACAGGCAGGCAGTGACAAGTGGAGCCGTGAGGTAGGAAGTCACTTGAGGTGACACGCAGAGCTGTCCGGACAGAGAAGCCGCCGAACTCTTCCTTCCCATGAGTTCCCTAGGAGCCCCCTAGCAGGGGGCCCGACACATCCTGCGTCTACCAGCTCACCCCTGGGCAGGACCGGGACTTCTAGCCTCACTGTGCAGAGTACTGTGGACACGGGGTGTCCTGGGCACTACAGGTGTTGAGCGGTGTCCCGGGCCTCCACCTGCTCCATGCCAGAAGCTCCCCTAGTGCGACAGCCACACATATCACCAGACATGGCCCACAGTCTCGTGGGGACAGAGCTGGCTCAGCTCCAGAAGGGAACCACAGAACGCTGGGATTAGTGAGCTCCTAACAAACCACATCCCTTTGTCCAGGGGTCCTCCAGGAGAGTGACTCTGGATCCCCGCCTCTCCAAGCGACCTAACAGAAAAGGTCCCCAGACTGACCCCATTCCAGACCTGTCCCCAAAAGTCTCTGGGGTACAAAACCCACTGAGCCAGGAGCCCCATTACTAGTGTGAGTGTGAAAGTTCCTCCTGAGAGAGAGGACCAGCTGGGGAAGCCCTACCAGGACTTTTCATTTGCTAGATCCTTCTGTCTCTACCCCCAAGCCACTGCCCCCAGGCCGGGGCAGATCCTGAGACTTCACCTGGACAACTGTCACTGGGGCAAGTGGGTCGGTCAGCTGGAGTCTGCTGAAATCGGCCCCCAGCAACGCAATTATCCTTTAAACAGGAGTTGTAGCCAATCAGAGCCCTGGTCTCTGGAGGAGTCACATCCTTACAAAAATCCTTACAAAACAGCCCAGTGTGCCTCCTCCCCAAGGCCTAGGCCACCTCAGTCCAGCAGCGTCCAAACAGACGCGCCCTTGATACAGCCACCATGGCTGATGAGAAATTCCGCATGATAAACGGCCTCGGATGTATTCTGCGCACACCCCACACTACCCCAGGGATACTCCCTAGAAGACAGAGGTCATCGGGTTCCAAGGTGCAAATCCAGCTCCAACCTGAGAGAAATCACTGGGTTCTTCCCCCTCCTTCAGCCCCAATCCCAGCCGGAGTCTGTGTGTGCCGATTTCTCATTAGGCAAATCACCCTCATTCACAGGACAGTAAGAGGCTGGGGGCGGGGTGCAGCCTCGACAGCAGAGGTATGAGGTCATCACTAGCTCAGTGGACTGGTTGGGGGCTTCCCAGCCAGAGGGGTGTCCTGAAGCAGGGGATGTGTTTTGGGAGGAGAAAACGGGAGGAAAACAAAATATCTGTACCAGGGTGGGTCTCAAATTCAGGGCTGGGGACAGGTCCAGGAGGCTAGCTGCTCCGCAGGCTTTATCAGGGGAAAATGGCTCTGAGTAGGGGGCACACTCTGCATGCAGGCAATGGGAGGTGGCCTGGGCAGGGTCTGGAGGAATGGACAGAACGGAGAGTAGGAGAAAGGAGGCGGCTGGGCTTTGGTGGGGTCTCCCGGGACAAGTCAGTCAGGTGTTGGGGGATCAATGTGTGATACTGGCTAGCAGTACTGGGGTGGGGGGCAGAAATCAGAGGCGCCAGCTGGGATGCAGACATGTATGTGTCTCAAGCTTGTCAGCTCCGGCTGTTTCCACCTCCCTGGCCAGGTCTGGAGCCTCCTAAGGTGACTCCAGGTAGACAAGGTCCCTGTACCCGAGTCCGGCTACATCCGGGTGCCCAGGGATCAGACTGCATTTTAATGGGGAGGGGGAATCAAAACAAGCACAGGTATGGAGGGCAGTTTAAACACGGGGAGGGGACGGCTGAGTGGTGGGACTGTGGGAGAGTCAGGGTTCACACGCCAGAGAGAATAACCCAGGTTAGGAGGCGTGGATCTGCTGTTCTACAGGGACTCAGGGGAGTAGCACGGGGTCTCGTTTTTCTTGCTGGGCGGCCAGAGCTCAGCCTGACATTTTACAAAGGATGGTGGGCGCTGACTGGCGAGGGTCCTCACAGCTTGCAGCTGGCTCTGAAAAGGGGTCACCACAGCCTGAATTGGGGAGATCTCAGATTCGGGGGTTAGGACGCGACGAGGGGATGCTGAGGCCACCTGAGCCCAGAGCAGCTTGGGGGGCTCGGCATTCGCGGGGCGCTGGTGCTCCTGAAGGGGTCTGAGCTGGGGAAGAGGTCGCGAGCTGGCCCGTCGGCTCGGTTTTGGGGTGATCGCAGCCCACCCTGCCTCCGCCTCGGGCCCGGGGGGGTGGGTCCCGCAGCCCCCGGCCGCCTCACCTGGCTCGGTCCCGTCGCCTGCTGACTCCCGCCGGCCCCGCCTGTCCCGGAGCCGCGCCGCAATCTCCTTCGGCCCCCGCACCTCCGTCTGGTCCGGCCTCCGCCGCAGCAGGCGGGATCCGGGGCTCCGCGGTCCCTAATATGGCGGCGCTTACTACTCCGCGGCCTCCCGGCTCCCTCCCTCGGCCGCGCGCGTGCCCGCGCGCCGACCACGCCTCCACGCCGGCGCACAGCGTGCTGCGACCACGCCCCCGCCACACCCCCCAAGCGACTGGGACAGGGCCTCGCCACGCCCACCTGGCGCAGCTGCGCCTGCGCGTGTAGAGCATCTCGGGAGGACTGACGTCATCGACGATTCGAATCAATACAGGAAGCGAGGGACCACGCGTTGCCAAGGGTAACCGAGGCCGGAAAAGACTGAGGCATCGCAGAGAATGGGGAAATAGCTCTACTCGTGGAGGGTGTGGCTCCTATTTGGGGGGCAGTCAGAGAATGGGCTCCCCAAGGCCGGACGCCCAAAGGGTAGACCTGAGGCGGGCACACACCACAATGAGGCGGTCATATCGCGTAATAAGCACGAGCGCCCAACACCAGCAAATCCTACTGTTGAGACATCCATTCATTCAGCAGACTTTCATTGCTCATAATCCTTGTGAGTCGCCAGCCCGAATAGCACAGCAGAGCAGAAACCAGGTAAATATCCTTGCTGAAAATCAGGCAAGGGTGAGGTGGGCGTGTTGCTCAATAGCGCTTGCCTAGCATGAGTGAGGCCCTGGGTTCCATCCCCAGAACTACCACCAAAAAAAAAAAGTATGGTGTGGTGTCGCAAGCCTGTAATACTCGAGGAGGCTGACGCAGAAAGAGCGCAAGTTTGAGCCCGTCCTGGGTGATTTAGCAATTTAGCGAGACCTTGTTTCAAATTAAAAATACAAAAGTTCTGAGGATGTAGCTAGGTGCAAAGGCCTTGGGTTCAATCTCTAGTGCTTAAAAAAAAAAAAAAAAGAAAGAAAGAAAAAAAGAGCAAATGGATCTGAATAGACAATTCTCCAAAGAGGATATGCAAATGATATGCAAGTGACCAATACCGGGTGTAAAGATGTCCAACATAATGAGTCATTAGGGAAATGCAGATCAAAACCACAGCGAAATACTGGCTCACACCTAAGAGGACGACTTTGATTCAGAATAAATCAGAACAAATGAGAAGGGTGGGGGATGAACGCTGGCATGAATGCGAAGGAATAGGAATCGTCCCACTCTGCTGGTGAGATTGTAAAATAACACAGCCAGTGTAGAAAAGTCTGGCAGTTGCTCAAGAAAGTAAACACCAAGCTGCCATATGACACGGCGATCATGCTCCTAGGAATCTGTGCAAGAGAAGTAAACACACCCACACCAACACTCCTGCACAAATATCCACCACAGTGTTACTTATGACAGCTTGAAAATACACACAGTATACATGTCCATCAACTGGTGAGCAGACAGTGTCTGTTCATACAATGGACCATTATTTTAGAATAGAAACGAAAGAAGTCAGGCATGGTGGTGCACACCTGAAATCCCAGTACTGTAATGCCAGCACTCTGGGAAGCTGAGGCGGGATGATTGCAAGTTTGAGTTCAGCCTGGGAACTTAGTGATTTAGTGAGACCTTGTCTTAAAGAAGTAAAAGGGATTGGGGACGTAGCTCAATGTTAAGGCTCTAGAAAGCAAAAACAGAAACAAAATCTCTAGTATTACAAAAACAAACCAAAAAAAAAAAAAATTTACTGAGTGATATTGAAAGCACAACTCTGTGAATACATCCAAAATTACTGAATTAAACACCTTCCATAGATGAATTATGTGACATGCGAATTATACCTCATTAAAGCTGCTATTTAAAAAAATTCTCTCAAGCTGGGCATGGTGGCACACACTTATAATTCCAGCATTTAGAGGCTGAGGCAGGAGGATCGCTGTGAGCTCGAGGCCAGCCTGGGCTACATAGTGAGTTTAAGGCCTGTCTAAATTACAGAGTGAGACCCTGTCTCAAAACTGATCAATCCATCAATCAATCTATCTCTCTGCTCATGGTAGCTCGCAGGAAGCTGAAGCAGGGAGATTGCATGTTCAAATCTAGCCTGGGCAACTTGGTGAGATTTTGTCTCAAATTAAAAAAATAAAAAAGGCTAGGCATTGTCACTCAGTGGTAAGTACTTGTCTAGCATGCACAAGGCCCCAGGGTTCAACTCTCAGTACAGCAAAAAAATAAAAATTCAAGGGGATGGCAAAAGAATTAAGATGCGTTAGGTTCATGTACCAGCTCCCCATAATGAATGTAAGCAATATGTACCGCAAGTAAGTACTAATAATAATTAAAATTAAAAATGTAAATGAGTTCCTAAATATAGTACCATGGGGGAAAAATATTTTTTGTTTTTTTGTTTGGTTTTTGTTTTTTTCCGGTACTGGGAATCGAACTCACGACCTTGCGCTTGCCAGGCAGGCGCTGTGCCGCTGAGCTAAATCCCTAGCCCCTGGAAAAATATCTTAAGAAAATGAAAAATTTGGTTCCAGAGTGGCACTGGCTATGTTTCAAATGCTCTTAAGGCCCTCTGGCTAGCAGCTACCTATTGGTAAAGATGCAGGATATGGCTATTGTGGGCAATTCTGCCGGAAAAAATTGTTCCCAAACAATGCCAGAGAGAAGACCAAGCAATGTTAATGAAGTCTGAGGTGTAGCTCAGTAGTAGAGCAGGTGCTTAGTATTGCAAGGCCTCTGTTAATTCCAGCACTTCAGGAGGCTGAGGCAGGAGGATTGCAAGTACCAGCCCAGCCTTGTCTCAAAATTTTAAAAAATAAATGAAAAAGGGCTGGAGATGTAGCTCAGTGTAGAGGCCCTGGGCTCAATACTGGGGGAAAAAAGCTGAGTGAAAAACTTATTTGTAAATCCCTACCCATCTAGACTATGTCTGATTTATCTCTTTCCTCAGGTCCGGTAACAAGCTCAATAAATATATTTCTAATATATTTAGCACCAAGATTATCAACAGTCAATCTAACCTGTGGCCTGGAAAACATCTGGCACTCCCATTTTTACCTAAGTAATACTAGCCAGATAATCCGTACCTTTTGTCTCGTTTTTGTCGTTGTTGTTGTTGTTGTTGTTGTTTCTGAGTCAGTGTCTCACTGTGTAGCCCAGGCTGGCTTTGAACTGTGTAGCCCAGGCTGGCCTCAATCTCATGGCGACTCTGCTGTGTGCCGAGAGCTTGGACACAGGTGTGCGCCACTGCTCCAGGCTACCTGTTTAAAAAGCAGCCACATGACGTCAGAGTGATGTTGCTGCAAACCTCATGCACAAGTAGACGCTGAAAGAGGTGGGAAGGCTCCTCCTCTGGAGCTTGCAGAGGGAGCTCCCCCACAAACACCTAGATCTGGGGTTTCCAGCCCCAGGGGCACAGGGGCCACGAGGGGGAGGGCACGGGAGGCTGGGCTTCACAGGGCTCCTCTCCTGCTATCAGTGCCTCACAGGCATGCAGGCCTCAGATGCCAACTTCTCAGAGCAGGCAAGTACTGCCCGTGGGTGTGGTCTCTCCTATCGGCTTCCTGCACTCTGGATCCTCCAGGGGCTGAGCACACCTGGCCCCAAGCCCTGCAGCCTTTCCCGGTCAGCTCAGCTCTGAACCTCCAGGTAGCATTCTGCAGTCATCAGCCCGAGCCACACTGTAAGAATCGAAGTGCGGAGGGACAGCCAGCCTCTGGCTGTTACAACTTCCAAATATAGGTAGCAGACAAAAACAAAAACACAAATATAGGCAGGAAGGTTTCACACACACAATCAGAATGTCAGCTCCAGAGGCCAGAGACTGTGTCTGTTTCATTCTATTTCTTGGTAAATGCCTGGCATATAGTAAGTGCTCAATAAATATTTGTGCAACAGATGAATTAATGTTGCCTTAACCAAAAGTTGGCCTATCAAAGTGTCTTCTTTGCTAGATGTGGCATTTTAATGGTTTGCATAAATTGTCTGTACATATATTGGTTTGTTTTGCTTTGTGATGCTGGGGGCAGAACCCAGGGCTCACGCATGCTAGACAAGCGCTCATACTGAGTCACACAGCCAGCCCCTGCCCAGATAGAAGGATTGCTGTCCATTGTTCCCTAAAAAAAATCCCTTGGGGCTGGGGTGTAGCTCAGTGGTAAGCATTTGCCCAGCATGCACAAGATAAATCGTAGCACCACCTGGGACAGAACCTGTGTTGCTGGGTTATTACCATCCAGCCCCAAGGCTTCCTACACCATCATGGCCTCCCTCCCCATGTTTGTTTGAGCACCACATTGTTCTGATATAATTATGAAAAGCACCTTTTAAAAAACAAAACAATAGAAAACCCCCATTTTTAGCTGGCAATGGGGTGTATCCCTCTCATCCCAGCACTCAGAGAGGCTGAGGCAAGAGGATCTCAAGTTACAGCCCAACTTGGGTGACTAAAAAAAAAAAACCTTGGAAAGGGTCTGGGGATCCAACTGAGTGCAAAGTCCCTGGGTTAAATCCCCAGTACCATAAATGAAATGAAATGAAATGAAGTGAAGTGAAATGAAATGAAATGAAATGAAATGAAATGAAATGAAATGAAATGAAATAGCTCGCTTTTTCTTGTGTGCGCAGGTGCTTGGGATCCTCAAAATGGGCAAAGCAGGGGCTGTGGGTGCAGGTCAGTAGTGAGCTCCTGCCTAGCTTTTAAGATCCTGGGATCCATCCCCAGCACCACCTGCAACAACAAACAAAAACATGCAACAAAACACATATAACTAGTTACTATAGTAGCATTTATATTTTAATTTAATATTAATACTATCAGGCAATATATTAATATTTTTAATAAATAGGGGTATTGAGCCGGGCGTGGTGCTACATGTCTGAAATCCCAGCACTCAGAAGGCTGAAGCAGATCACTGTGAGTTCGAGGCCTGCCTGGGCTACAAAGTGAGCTCAAGGCCAGCCTGAGCTGCAGAGCGAGACCCTGTCTCAAAAGGCAAAAAAAAAAAAAAAAGTTAATGTGTGTCCAATGTATCGTACATTTGTATGATTTCTGAATACATAGTAATAATCTCCCTAAGAGCAAACGGATCTGTCAAGGATCTGTGCTAACTATATGACTTGTAGTTTCTCATCTATTTTCTTTCTTTTTTTTTCTCATCTATTTGCTAGTAAAATTTAACAACTTAGCAAGTCCCTGTCTCAAAATATAGACTATAAAGAGCTGGGGTGTGGCTCAATGGGGAGCCGGAGGTCGGCGGGGGGGTGTTGCTGGTGTCGGGGCTAGGGGTATCTGTAGGTGAGATCCCAGGCCTGCGGGGACACCTTCCGTCCTCAGGGGGCGCAGTAACCCGCACTCGCGGTCTCGGAGCCGCCGGAGGCCCAGCGCCGCGCAGTGCCTCCTGGGACTTGTAGTTCACGGTTTAACGCGCAAGCGCAATAGCAACTGTATCGGCATCGCGCGCGATGGGCTCGGTGGAGAGACTAGGGGGACAAGGGATTCGCGCGGGCGCAGGCGGGTTCCGCGGGGTGTTTGACCGGGTGCCCATGATCACCTGAGGCCTCGCCGAGGGACTGTCTCCGTAAGTGGGCCCCCGGGCGTGGGGCGGGGCTGGCGAGTTCCCTGGGGTCTTTACCTGGTCACGGGCTAGCGGAATCTGGAGGCCGCCAGTGGCCAGGTCCGACCTTTCCCGAGGCGGACTCTAGGACGGCTGAGCGGGAAGGGAGAAGGACAAAACCCTGGCTCTATCTCACCTGCGGGGAGGGGGTGCGGCCCCGGGTGCCATCTGGCCCCAGGACACTGGGCCGCCTCTGCGGACGTGCGGCGGTCGGTGGGCGAGCGCCCGGCGTGGAGCGGGTGGGGGCCGGGGACGCCGCTCGGCACCCGCAGTGCCAGGACGCCCCGCCGAGAACGCCGGCCACAGTCCCCGGTGCCCAGAGGACCCTGTGTCAAAACTGAGCTCGCTCCCTGCTCGTAGCAGACAGACGATCACGTCGTGCTGGGGCAGGCAGTGTGACCAGGGGACCCAGCTTCCGGGACTGACCCCTCTGTCCTCTCCCACTCAGTGTGGATGTCACTGTGGGCAGCGCTAGGACCTCGGCAGCGCGGAAGATCGTGGCATCCCGGGACTCTTGAGGTTCATAGGATCCCCAGCTCCAGAGGGTTTCAGTTGGGGTGATTCTGCCCCCCGTGCTGTTACCCTCCGAGGTGGGCCTAGTGTCTCACCCAGTGGAAGAATGAAGTTAGACAAGGAGCCAGTCAAGGGGTGTGTTTTTTGGAAGTAAAGACAAAAGCGTCCCATGGTTGGGAGGGCTCCAGAAATGGGGCGCCAGACTGGGCTCCTTGTCTGGACTCCTGTGGATACGGAGAAGGCGGAACTTGCTCAGCATTCAGTGCTGGCCCGCGGGTTTAAAGCAACCGGTCAGTGTTCAGAAGAAAACCAGTTTATCTGCGTCTTTAAATTTCCCTGAAACCCAGTGCATGTCGGGAGGGAATGTTTCCTTGTGCTTCCTTTCCAGGGTCAGCGTCCTCAGTCTTTGTCTTAACTCATAAGTCTTTTCTTTCTAAAGAGAAAGCCCTACCTGCCTCAGGGAAGGAAAAGCATGCTTTGTGGTGGTGTAAGGGTCGTGTGTGTGTGTGTGTGTGTGTGTGTGTGTGTGTGTGTGTTTATAACGGGTGATCTAGGATGTGTGTTCCTGCTGTCTGTTGCCTTTACCATCTGGCAGGCCATGTCAGGATGTGAGCCCTTTATGTGTGCTTGAAGTTGAGATCTGGTGCCTATTAATTTTGCTGTTTCCTTAGGGATGGAAGAGTGCAATTTACAGGTGAAAAGAACAGGTCCAGAGCCCAATTTACAGGCTTGCTGTGTTTTAGGGGTTTTGAGACAGGGTCTAATGTTTTCTAGGCTGGCCTTGAACTCACTATGTAGGCCACGCCTGCCTCAAGCTCGCTTACAGCAATCCTCCTGCCTCAGCCTCCAGTGTGTGCACCACACCTGGCTTGCAGGCCTGTTGTGTCTTTAAGACCTATAGGAATTTTTTTGAGTTAATTTCCTGGAAGGTAAAAAGGCTTGAGTAACTTTTGTGTCCTGAAGCTGCAGTTTTTCTTAAAAGTATGATTTTAAAGTTCTGATTTCTTTGTCTTCTTTCTGCCTGTTTTTAAAATCTCTTCTATCCTACCTCTAATGGGCCATATCTGGGGACATGTGTGGTTGTCACGACCTGGGGAGCTTCTGGTGATACAGGAAAATAAAAACTCCTGACCTGCACGATATCTGAGATGAGTTTGTGTTCTTAAAGTCGAAGAATGAATTTTAGGAACAACAGAGGTTAAGAGCAGAATATATTTATGGAGAGAAAGAAAGCTTCTGTCCAGAGGGGCAGAAGGGGGGCCCGAGTGGCTTACCCAGGCTCTGTGTTTTCTAGGTACTTTTATAGAGCAAAACCACAAGGTGAAGCAGGTCCAAGGTAGGGAAAAATGGACAAAACTATGGTCAGCCAATAAGAATTGTTCAGGTAAATTGATTAAACCGGGATCAAACGGAGAAGCGAGTTACATAGCAAGCGGGCATGAATACACAACAGGGGCTTCTCCTGTAAGGGGCTGGGTCAAGGACTCTTCAAGGTGATTGCTATCTATTCAGAATATCAATCCCTGATGTCCATCCCTAGGGAGGTATGTGGGTGCATTTGTTTAGTCCTTTGTCTTGAGGTCTGGTGCACAGCAAATACATATCTTTCATGTTGGCTCCTTCGAGGGCTTGGCCCTGTCTGACTGCCTATAATATGTCTATCTAACTGGCATGGAGTGGACAGAGGCCAGGGTCACTGCTCAGCCCCTGCGGTGCCCCACCTGCCCACCGCAGTGCCCAGGGGATCCTGTGTCAATCATTTGGGATAAAACTGAGCTTGTGCACAGCTCCCAGAGACAGCAGAACATTTTCCCATTTTGGGTCTCCTGGATGAAAAGTAGTGAAATTAATGGGATTACAGGTTCCCAGTTCACGGCTGAGAGTGGCAGCGCCCTCTTGGAGGAGTGCCGCCTTTGCTTTACCCTTCCGAGTGGCCCTGAGACACAGCTCCAGCGGGGGCAGTAGGCCCAGCGGTCACCCTGACAGGCAGCCAGGGGCAAGGCCTGTTCACACGCGCCCTTGCCATTGAGCCTGTGTTCTCGTCCCCGTGCCAACCCTCCACATTTCAGGACTATCCAGGGATTTCTACTGATGGCGGCACACACATTGAGAAAGACCAGTGCTGGCAAGAGGGGATTTGTAACCTGGGTTTTGTTAATTAATGGTCCTTCACCTTGAGAGTGTCGGGGCAGGGCTTCGGGTTGAAACAGGTGTGCTGATTTTCCTGTGGGCGGACAGAAGAGGTTGTTACTATGCGTGCCGGCCCCGGGGCTCCTCCCTGAGCGTGAGAAGTGTGTGTGGTGGTGTAAGGTCCAGGTAACTCCTTGGCAGTCGGTCAGGCGAATACACGGCCTACATGATGGGGACTCAGGGTCACCCATGGAGCCCTGCGTAAAAGCAGCTGATACCAGCGAAACATCCCACCCACAAGAGGAGGGTGAGGGCCAGCGGGCACCTCTCGCCGCATGTGCCCGGGCGATGGCAGAGGGGGCTGAAGACCCAGGTACAGTTAGGAGGAGGGGTGGCCGTGCATTATGGGTGTTCGTTCAGTCACAGAAAGGATGCGGCTCGCCTGTGTTGCCGGTTGGCGGCGTCCTCAGGCTTCTGCGGTGCAGAGCGTCTGGCATCCTTCAGCCGTGCTCCTGAGGTTGAGCTCACGCTCTGCCTCTTCCTGGATCATCAGTTTACAAGGCGCCGACAGTCAGGACACACGCCCAGTGTCCAGACGCTGGCTTTACTCTGCTGTGGTGAATCCAGGGGACGATCTCACTGCAGTGGGGGTGGGGCAACAGCGAGTGGGCCCCTCCAGAGCGTTCAGGGGCTGACGTCCCGTTCTACCCACACGGCACGCCCTGGGTGAAGGAGAGAGCATCGCCAGTCAGACTCACGGGCAATCATCCCTCCTTGACCCACTGGTGTAGAGTGGCCGAGGCTGAGCCTAATGCTTGCATCTGTTGTCTCGGAATGAGGTTTCCAAGCGCCTTTAAATCCCCCCTGTGCCCTTAATGAGAGGACGGAGACGCCCGTGGAGAATCTCCAAAGCGCTGTCTGTTTAGCGGGAGGAGAGCGCATCCTCAGCAGAGCTATCGGCAAGAGTTGGCCGCAGCGCAGGTTAGTTTCCTAGCACAGCCTGCCGCGCTGTAGCTTTAAAGTTCGGTTCATTTGCTCCACCTTTCCCGCGCTCTTGGGGCAGCATGCCATATGCAGCTTCCAGGTAATCTTTGGTCTTTGGCCACTGGCTGCACCACCTCTGACGAATGCCGGCCCGTGGTCTGATCCTATGGTAACAGGAATTCTGAAGTGGGATGATTTCTCTCAGAAGACTCCGGGCCACCTCAGATACCTTTTCTGTGCTGATGGAGAAGGCCTCTACCCAGCCGGAAGACCACTGGCAAATCCTTGTAGCCACGGACTCAGGGAAGCTCAGTAGAATCCACAACCACGTTTTCAATGCCTTGTCCCCCAGGAGTGGCCCTGGGCCCTTGATGTGGGTTATTACGGGCACACATTTCACTTTGTCCATACCCCCTGGGCTGTGCTGCACCCCGGACGTAGAAATGTGGACTCACGGTGGTGTTGAGAAGTGTCTGGCCCATATGGGTGTTCTGATGAAACTTTCTGACAAAAGCTGGGGCCAGAGCCTCGGAGATTGCTACCCAGCCATCTTTCCATCCACCTGGGAGATAACCTCCGTCCTTAGTCATAAACCAAGCAGTCTCACCTGGTGAGTAATCAGGGTCCCATTTGTTAATGGATGGGGGCGGCCAGGGCCTCCGACTTGCTCCTCCCCTAGTGGCCGCCTGCTCAGCCTCCTGGCCTGGTTTCCCTGAGCAGCAGGGGTGTCTTCCTGTTGATGTTCCCAGCAGTGCGTGACCGCCACCCTTTGAGGGGTCCACACAACATCCAAGAGTTTAAGGATTCCCCTGCCGTATTTTATATTTTCCCGAGTTGATCAGAACTTTTCCCTTAATAGCGCCCCGTGCACATGCAGAGTGGTGCAAGTGGGAGTCTGTGTCTGCGCTGACGCATGTTCCTGCCACCAGCCGGGGTGCTCTGGTTGGTGCAGTGAGCTCGGCTCCCTGTGCCGAGGTCCCTGTTGGCGGAGATTTTGCCTCAGTGACAGAATTCAGGGTTACGATGGAGTACCCTGCCAGGCGTTCTCCCGCTTTCATGAAACTGCTACCGTCTGTGACATACTCAGCATCGGGATTCTTGAGGGGCTGGTCCCCTGAGCCCGGCCGGCTGGAGAACACCTCATCCGGGACCTCAGTGCAGCCGTGGTCTGGCTGGCCCCGCCAACTGGCAGTAGGGCTGCGGGGTTGAGGGTCCGCACCCCTTCTAAGTGAATGTGTGGGTTTTCACGTAACATCCCCGGATACCTGGCCATCCCGGCGTCAGCCAGAGTGATCCCTGTGCTCCACCAGTGTCAGCACGGAGTGCGGCACTGGGAC